AATTGCATAGTTTTTACATTTTCCCCTAACCTTAAGTAATATATACTAGTTCTGAAGTAAATCGAATTTACCCGTATGAATCGTCTTATGTCATTTATTGCCGATAAACAGAATATGCACACTTTCTGAAAGTAATGTGTGATAAGTCACGCACCAAACCTATACTCTCGATATACATGTTGCGCTTACTTAAAAAACTATTGGGTTAACAAGATACGTATATTAAAGTGTCATGCTTTCCTGATATGTTATCATTCTAATTTGAAATAATGACATAAATAGTTACCACTCATCTTTCAATATTTTTCAAGGTTGGGTTATCACGAACATATTTGAATATATACAACAGCTGTACTTGCTTATCTTTATACTTAAAAGCATCAGGTTTGTCTGTCATACAGACCCCGAAACAAATATGTCCAATACAGCCCAATATTTGGCAAAATGAAGAAGGTCTCTCGGCTCCTTTTTATTATATTTTATAACTATTGTTTAATTACTGGGTTTTTTCTGTCAAATATGTTCAGAGATTAGATGTTATTCTAGCATCAGGTCTGTGGTACGTTCACTACATCAGCGTTGACATTTAAACGATCTTTACATATATAAATACATACAGAAGAAATGCTTAGCATTTACCTTTTAAGGAAGAGTGCAGGACGACTTATTTTATACATAATATATCTGGACATATATGTATGGACATTTGGATGAATATAGATATACTTCCTTATAGATAGTGTTCGTAGATGATTGTAGAACGTGCATGAAGAATATGGAATAATTATGTATAGACATATAGACATGCATGGGATCTTTTAGATAGTTGTACCTCACGGCTAGACTAACGCTTAGTCTCTGAAAATATATTATTTTGATTAAAACGAGAAACTATATTTAAATTTAAAAGGAGCCCCAGTGGGATGGAAATTTTAGCCTGAACCTGTTGAACATCTAGGCTTGTTTCATTTGGGGCTATAGCATTGCAGTGAGGCCTGGGCGGAAGGGAAAACCTGTTTACGAAAATAAAATACGAAAAATGTCGGAAGTGTTTCTTCTTTATCCTTCTAATTTTCTATTTAGATACATGTTTTATTTTTAAAGTAATTATATGTATCTCATGTTCAAAAAATGTATTATTGGTATCTGTGGTTCTGGTACCGTTTTGTCGCCATTGTCTAGCTTTTGTGGAGTTGCTATGAATATCAAATACATGTCTTGAAATATGGACTTGTAACAGAACCCATCATTGAACCATTTGCAGTCTTACCCATCTAATTGCCGTGTATGGACATATTATCCATCTACTTATACACACTTATTATGGACATATACATAATTTCATTGTACCTTATTATTAAAAAAATACCCGTGAAGATCGGGGTTTGAATAGGCCTTCAACAACCCATGCTTGTACAAAGGCGACTCACATTATCGTGTGTTCAGGCTCGCTGACTTGATTGATGCATGTCTTCGTATCCGAATTGCGTAGATCGGTGCTCTTGATGATGATAACTGGATTGTCTGGTCCAGACTGGATTATTTACGAACCACCGTCATATAGCTGGTATAGTGCTGAGTGCGGCGTTTAACAACAAACACTCAAACAAAAACTATTATTAAACACCTTCCAACAATGAGAAATTAAACTTATATTTTCTATATATTCTGATATATTTATAACGTAATTTGATTCATAATTTAATTATTGCGTTGCTTTCTTGTCTGTCATTCAATGTACATGTTCAAACCCCAAAACTTTGAATATTTGATTTTTTCACAAATGGTTACGTTAGTGAGTTGCCTAGATCTCTCGTTACCTTCTCACACGAACAGATTAAAATCATTTGTTTTTACTATCATATTTCAGCTTATTTAATTCATAATACGAATAGAATAATTCATTTATCACAGTATAGATCATATTCGTTTATATCACTATCTGATCTATCTATTTTTAACCACGAAAATTAAGGTTTTATTGCCGAAATTATATAGTAATCGTTGATGCCGTGCTACACTATAATAAAAATTATAATCAAGTTGACTAGTATGTACATTACTACAGTGAACATGTACATGATCATGCCCTAATAATCAAATGTCGTAATATCAAATACTAATATATTATTATGTGATGAATTTGACTGGATCAGTGGTAACATGTGATATTAATATTCCATCAATTTCTATCCTGGTTTGTCTATCCATGTCTACAAAATGAAAATAATGCAATAAAAAAGGAGCACAGAACAATTCTTAATTTCAGACTAGAGCTGTTGAAATCTAGGCTTTCCCAATCATTATAGACTTGAGTTGGTATCATTTTTTACATTATTCTCTTGGGTCTACGTCACAGCTCATACCACACAATAACAAGACCAGTTAGTCCCCCGCCGGAGCGCCTGGATTTTGGTTATATCATCTAACATGGCCAACTCTGCTCTTAAGTTAACAAGAACCTAATTAGCGAGTGTTCCTTTATGATCATGCTGGGTTTTTGTCCTTTGCTTGAACAATAATGTAACTTCACTTCTTTTATTGAGTCGTTTATTTGTAGATAATTTCGTACACAGATATTTCATCTAACAATAATAATTGTATGCACAGTTCTTTATGTTGTTCTGTACACGGATTCCCCAGTGGCTATATTGCATCATATAGAATACTCATGGATGTGTATGCCACTGTACCAAATTAATTATGATCATATTCTTTATTATTATCCCATTCAGACCCGACATTTTAACAAGAACACACATATATCTAGTTCAGAAACACTAGACTGAAATTAATCCAATATGATTCCAAAATTATTAGATATATTAATGATTAATTTCATTGTGTAATAAGAAAACAAATGTCAAATAAATGGATTTTCATGTGAATAAAATCCAGAGGGCAAATATCGGAACCAATGACAGACCCTATCATTAAACATGATTGTTAGAGATACTGGGCGTTCAATAATTCCGCTAAACCACCATTTCACAATGGGAAAATACGGGGCATAATCGGCGATATTTATTTCATCAAATTTGCAAAATGAAGATCGTATCATGTATACGATTTCGTGATAACAGTGAGCTGACACGAAATATTAACGCACATATCACTGTCGAAAATGTGGTTTGTGTCATTGTTTACATTTCACCGATGTGACGAACACTTTCGAGTCTCGAAACAGCTTGAATAATGTTTTCCTTCACTAAAAGTAACATCGGACGTTATTCTCGTGACATATACATTGCAAGAGCATTCATGAAAATGCTAAGACAAATATTTAACCACCCGTTCTAGCGTTTTCCTATAGTAAATACACGGCTTGTCCGCCATGTTTGTTCGTCTAGTGGAGGCGGCCATTGTGCAGTCATTGCCTGGGTCAGTGTAGCGCCAGCGCAGCATACCCGAGGAACCAGGCTGCTTCAATTATCCAATTGATTTGATTAGAATATACTTGCGTCAGTGTATTTTATTAACGCCCAAAACCGTAATTTAAACACATATAATAACAGATCATATACACGCATGGTGCCTCCACTTACTACTAGCTTTAATAGGCCATCCCGGAAAAAAATAGTTCCCCCAAAGGCGAGGAACATCCCTTTTAGTCTGTTTATAAGAAATGTATTCCAAACAATATCCTCAGTAGATGAGGAGATCTGTTAAAGAATTGCCTCAGTAAGTCAATCACAATGACAGAGCGTCGTAATACATTTACATCAAGTACAATACGTCAAAATTGCCGACACGATAAACGTAACGGGAGATATTTCCGAAGTTGTTAATGAACCTGTGGTTATTTCAAGCCTTTGTCATCAGTGATCAATTGGCCGATCATTGAAAGGTGATTGTAAAGATGTGTCAAATAGATACTAAGGTAAACTCATAGATTGCTGTAGATTGTTACTACGATAGTTTGGATGTTTTGGGTTTTTTCGTTTTTATTTTTCTAGGATGGGTTGTAGCGAGGGTATCCTTAAACGGGCTATGCAACCAAACTCTCTGACTTATCCCAGAGTAAGCTAAGACGCTAAGTTCAAAATTAAAGGGTCTAAATGACGAGAAACAACGCTTCTGTATGAATTCGTACATGTACCAGGGAATTCCCCGGGTTTTCCCCAGGAATGTGGAAGTGGTCAGTGTTTATGTCATTTCAAGAATACAGTCACGTGAAAAACGTCATGTGACCGACCTCTCGTCCAATGGAAAAGCCGTATATCCTGTAAACTTCACATAAAAAAATAGTTACTGTTATAACCAAATGAAACACAACACATTATCCGATAGAGGTATCTGTGCATAGCGGAGGGATATGTTATCACAATAAACTTTGGTAACATGTTTTGGTTTGACCTCTTGGCGCGTGTCTGAATTCCTTTAACATGTTACATATCCTAAAACTGGCTTATCAGCAAATCTCCCTGCACTACGCGCCACAGATACTAGAGCAAGGCATGCCAGAAATACGAAACCTAATGCTTCCGAAAGGAAGGGGACCAGCGCCATCTCATTGGCCGTTAACAGTTGTACAAGGCGGGGCAAAAAGCATCGTTTTTACGTCCATTTGACGCTTGAAAAACTCGACCCTTTTCCGGACACTTTCTAGACGCTCGCCAAATAATCAATTTTAATGAATTTTTAGTAGTTTTCCCGTCCAATGACCATATACGGAAAAAACGACCTTTTCGTGTTTGCAGTTTAATATTGATAATTTTTTTAATTATTATAATCCTTAATTAAAATGATATAGTAAATAAACAACGCGAAGTATCAATTTTCTTTGATCTTGAGAAAGATTACGATACTACCAGTCATGCATCCCAAAATGAATAAATCCATATACAGTCGTAAGTGTTAAGATGAGGTTGGCAACATAGAAACAATCTCGGCCTACATTAGGGGAAAGTGTAAAAATAAATACTTTGTGGAATTCGGAAAGTGTCATCTGTTTTAGACAACGCGCTTAAGATAATTTATGGGTGCAGGCATTGTGCAGTATAAAAGGCGTGTCCCTGGTCACAATGTTCAGATTAAATCGTTTCCGTTGAACATGAAGTACATATTATTCCTCGCTGTATCAGCAGTTGCTGTCGGTGAGTATGACAGTCATCTGCATCAGCAACGCCGTCAGGGAACAGTATTTTGTTGTTTCACGACCTCAGCAATATTCCATCTTCAATGTTTATGACGGCGGCCTGTAGAGAAGCTTGTCATGTTTTGAGCAATGTCCCACCCTTGGCGAAACTACCATAGTAGCAGAAAAGCGGTTGAGTACACCTAAAAATCACATTTTATCAAAGATAAGTAAACCTCGATTTACCATCTATGCAGTAAATTTTTAATTCAAACTCTACATAGTCGAACATGATATTTATTGTCTAACTTGAAAATCGGAATCTTGCATTGAGGTATCAGTAATGAAGTAACGAAACCTTTAGGAAATAATATGAAGAAATACTAGTAAGTATAGTTATATGAAAATTTCACCTAACTATACTTGCTTGTATTTCCCTCAGGCGAGCAGAGAGTCCTTGAAAGTAAGTGTTTCACAAAATATACAGTAAACTACGTTTATAACGAACACGCTTATAACGAACTGACGGATATAACGAACTTACTTTTTTGTCCCGACTATTTGTTGTAGTTATGCTGTATATATATATGCTTATAACGACTTACGGTTATAACGAACTAAAATTAGTGGTCCTGTTGAGTTCGTTATAATCGTAGTTTACTGTACTTAGTTTGTGACGGCTCGCGTTGAAACATAAAAAAATAAAATCACATAGCTACGAATAAACATGGAAAACACATGAAAATAATATTATCGATTAGTTGCGCCCTGCCCACACCGGGTAATGATGACAAGAAATCAACCCAAACACTGAACCTGATTCCTCGATCCATGAGTCCCCCATTTAGACAGGCGTAGTTTGCTGGAGGGCAATTTGAATCTATAATCCCCATTGGCGAGTCAGAGGACACATCCAGTCGAGACCTTTATATAAAGTTTTTAAAGTCAACTTTATATCTGTTATCGTCTCGACTCTTATCTGCTATTATGTCTCAGTTGGAAATCAGTTACCACTTGAAGCGGCCATATAATATGATAGGCTAAATAACTTGCATTATCGATATCAACAATTAATTGAATGTTTTTATTTTACTTTAAGCCTTGGTGTGGAGCGAATCATGACACTTACACAACTCTGCACTGCATCAACCAAGGGTGCACGTGCACCTACACGCATGCATCATGTATTCAGGGTAAGTGAGTGAGTTGTGTTTAACGCTGCTTTTATTTGTTAGCTTCTTGTTTAACTCAGAAATATTCCATCCACACGAAGGCTGCTTTTAACAGTTTGTGTTACCTTAGTGAACCAAATAACAATAAATAAAGCGATAGAACCCTTTACATATCCAATAGAAATCTCTGCATAAAACAGAGTCGATTGCACGATTCCGACTATATCATGAGCATGTGTTTATGAATCATTATCAGGTGTTCGCGAAAAGGTGAGTGTATCCTGCCCCACCGGTGGCACCCTTCACAAACACATGCAAAGGGAAGTCAGTTGTTCACCTGATATATATGTTAGAAGTCAAAATGGGGATTTGCATCGGACATCATCTTTGTCGCTGATGCGTCAAATTTGGAAATGTATTTCTCATGTCTAACACTCGTAAAGCTTTTTGAAAGCTTTTACTGAGGCCTTGTATATTGTAACCTTGATCGTACAACTTCATGGCAAGAGTCGTATGACGCTCGTTGAAATCTTGATTGAAAGATCATGCTCGATTGTATCTCAAAAGGTGGGAAATGTAAACACCATGTAAAGGATAGAGCTGCTGAAATATTGTTCCACATGAAGGGAAAGTTGACAGTTGGAAAGTTGAAGTCATCCCTCTTGTCACACAGAAGTGATGCAGGTCTCAGACGTTTACCACTTCGGTGAAACCCACGAGCATGTGTCCTTGTGGTTTTGGTCCAATATCAATGCTGCTTCAAAATTAAACAGATTTGGTTAACTTAATAATGGAGCAAAACACACAAGGACACATGTCATAGGTATTCACCACGGTGTCTGGTTGGCTCCATCTTCACGAGGCAAGAGAGTTAACTGACTACAAAAGTCCAGTTTCCACCCTTGCCGAACTAGGCTGGTATTATGGTATTACAGTTTGGCTGGACTAACGAGTCTCTGCATAGTCCAATCAAAATCGCGCAACGAAATCGAAATCCGGTTTGTGAACTGTCATGCAGATTTCCGTCTATTGCAGGATTTGCAAAGCATGTGCACTGCCAACTCGACCCGTGAAGATCAGGGGTAGAATATATCTTCAGCAACCCATGCTTGCCGTAAAAGGCGACTTTGCTTGTAAAAGATCACTTATAAAGATTATTATAAAATAATTAATTCATTAGATATTTTAAACATGATTCTAATATACGGGTGGCTGGTCAAAAAGTGTGAAACCTGAAAAACAAAACCAACAATTATGAAATAGTTGTTTTATAACATACACTTTTCATATCGGGCAATTCATATGTCAGGAGGAAGTTTTCTGAAGCCACCCTAAAAAAACCATTCACGGCAGGTCTTCGTTGTCGTCATAGCGCTTTCCACACAAAAGTTGTTTCAGTTAGGAAACAGGTAGAAATCACTTGGTGAAAGGTCTTGCGAGCATGGAGGGTGAGGAAGCTCTTCGAACCCGCATTGTCTCAATGTCGAGAGGTGTAAGAAGAGGCATTCTCATGAAGTAGTAGAACTCCAGCAGTCAGCATTCCCGCAGCTTTTCTTTGATAGAATGTCTCAGGTAATGGCGCAAATCAGCATAATGGACACCAGTAATCTTTTTTGACCTTCTTAGTAATCAAACAAGGATCACATCCTTTCCATCGCAGAATACAGTGGCCATGACTTTCTTAACTGATCTTGAAGACTTGAATTTCTTTGGTGCCGGACAAGTGGAATAGTGCCATTCCATGGATTGACGTTTTGACTCGGGATCATAGTGGCAGACCCATGTTTCATCACCCGTTACTAATATCTTTTGGAATTTGACGAATTCCTTTTCAATTAGCTCTAAATATTTTCTGGCAATGTCAGTTTCTTTAGAATTTATAAACTTTGGCACCCAACGAGCAGATATCTTATTCATCTGTACATGTTCATAAATAAAAGGTCCAATGGATCCATGGCTTAGACCTGTGTCTTCCTCAAGTTCAGCAAAGGTAATACGTCTATCTGACAGTATAAGTTTGTGTATCTCCTTGATTGAATCATCATTGATGGAAATTGAGGGACGTCCAGATCTAGGGTCATCATCAAGGCTTCTTCTCCCAGCCTTAAAACATAGCTGCCCAACGTTTAACAGTGTAATAACGAGGGCACTTATCCCAATACGCTTGTGATGTGTGGTCATGAATATTTTGGAGAGTACTTTTATCTAAATCGAAACCTTGATGACTGCTCGTGCTTGTTCTTTTCCATTTCTGTGTCCATTTGGATCTATATCACGTTCAATTGGCTGTCACTTTTATACAAATGGCTTCAACAGACCATATCCACTTGCAATGAACAACTCAAACAATGTACTACATTGACTAGTTCACTTTCTATTGGCCCACAGTTAAAACTTTGTCAGGTTTACAACTTTTTGACCAGCCTTCGTATATGAAAATGATTTATAGCCACTTTGAAAGTTAGATGACAAATGAGAACACACGATATAGAGAACTTTATTGATGAAACACTTCATTCTTGATCATCTAAACGTTTTAGTTCAGGGCATTTTGTCAAAAATGAAAACAAATGTCATCTGAAGTTAACTGGGAACAACAATATGTGAATGCTGGATTTCATGACAGATAACATCTTTGTGAAATGGGGGGATAAGATATTGGGGCATAAAGTAGGCATCCCCACATGTACCAATTGTGCTCTTCCCCTCATTGTTGATTTGTTTCTCTGTGAGCTTTTGCAGAAAATCTGCATGGCTTAGCAACATTAAAACAGAGGAATTTAACCAAGAAGATTAACATATGCTTCAGGAATATCGAAGATCTGATACAATTCAATAATGGTCAAAGAGCCACATCCCTTCCACTGATTTTCCCACCTATACTATAAATAAAAAGTACCAGTGAAACAGTCTCATCTGTTTCATATGTAGATTTAAAGTGACCCAAAACTATCCGCAAGACTGTATGACAAGAGGGATCCAATAGTCAACTTTCCCTTTCTGTCGAGCAACATTCCATCAACTCAAGCCCATGTCTACATTTCACAAATTCTGAGATCAAGCATGTTCTTTTTTTCGCGCTTTTTAGAGAGCGCCATATCGTACTTGCTGGAAAGTTATTTTATAGTGGTTACAACATTCAAGGCCTAAGCAAAGCTTTGAAAAGGTGTTATAGTAGAGTGCATTTCCAATCTTGATGCATCAGTGACAAATAGTGACGCAAAGGGCAATTCCATATTTGGGCTTGTGTCATATGTTTCCGGTTTTTTTAGATGAACAATTGACTTGCCTTTGTGTTGGATATGTGACGGGTTCCACCGGTGGTGAAGGATACGCTCAACTTTTCGCGAACAGCGGATATCATCACTTTTTTATGGTGATTCAAAGACACATGCTCATGATAAAGTCGGAATCGTACAATCCTACTTCTTTAGTCTAATATTTGTTGATAATTTATATCTTGCCAATCTTGTCTTTATGTCTTCCGTGTTCTAATCACACATTTGTTTACATTTCAGTGGAGGAAAAGAACATTCATCTAATACTTACCACCGCTTTTTGTAAACTATGAAGAAGAACCATACATTGTGATTGATTTGTGTTTCCCGAAACCTCCGGGTTTTAAAGAAATATAACAGGATTCGAGTAGGTTAAATGTGGAAAATGTCTGACAAATATGGCATCATGATATATGCGAGTGGGATAGCTACTGTTTGGTGATCAAATTTAATTCTTAGTTTTGTTTCTACTAAGATGGGTTTTTGTTTTGATAATAAGAGCTCACCTGGAAAGATATTCACAATTTTATACTATCAGCAAAGACAGAAACTTAAAACAAGTTGCTGTCAGCATCGACATTCAAATATTTTGAATTATTTTCTGCATTAATAGCCAGGAAATAAAATCGTCAACGCAGGAGAATAATCACTCTCGATTATCCCACTAAACAGATACCACTGGGTGTAAAAAGCAAACTAGTGGAATATTTTGATAAAAATGGATCATTGAAATCATGGATGACACCAGGTGTTCGCGAAAAGGACAAGCACGTCCTGCCCTATCAGTAGCATACGCCACAATTTGCAAAAAAAGTATGTATTTGTTGCCCGACACTGCACAGCAATTCCCCTGTCATGCAAAGCGTCATGTAAACAAACCAGACTGTCAAGTGAAGGTCAGAAATCCAATAACACGATAAAGCATTTACTGATTTTGTTGAAACTAAAAAAAATATGTTAATATATTGTTGAAAATTCTTGAATAAAATTCAAAAACAGGAAGCAACAATTTCATGTACGCTCTAACATGGACTGTAATATATTATTTATGTTATTGTACGCCAAGGATGTCATGTACAACATATTGGACAAACGGAGTGCTTGAGAGACAGAATGGGCGTCCATAAACAGATAAAGGACCCCATGCAAGGTTCATCCCTTAAGCGCTCGACAAATGCGCAGCAGGAAAAGAAATAGAATTTAAGATATACCCTTTCTGTAAAATGAATACTGCTGACCCCCAGCAGTGTAAAGATAAAAAATTGTTTTCATTAAAAGGTTGTGCCCATCTTTAAATAAGTAGCGCATGGTATATGAACTATATTTGTATTTATTGTGAATGTTACCACTGTCATTGTAAAGCCGCGGTGTTATAACTGTAATCACTTCTCCCTGAAGATACAATTGAAGGTGAGGTGAAATGGGGTTTAACGTCGCGTCCAAGATTATTGCACTTATATAGCGACGTGCATGTACGTGGGTGTGTTTGTGTGGCTGCTTGTACTAGTCCGGACTGATGCCGATTTATAGTGCTAGCTCACTGAGATACCATGCCGCAGTTTAACATGAATACCCCACTCAGACACAGTATACTGACTCCGAGCCGACCAGTCCTTGTTTTAGCCCCTTAATGCCGAGCGCCAGACAGGGTAACAAAACGTACCATCTTTAAACGTCTTTTGGTATGACGCGGCCGGGGATCGAACCCCGGACCTCCCGCTCTCCGGGCGGACGCTCTACCAATAGACCACGGAGGTGGTCAGTTACAATTGAAACATGTAGAACAATTCGTGTTATTATTCCGTGACTTTCTTTTTATATATATTTCTTATATATAAAATCGTGTTGTCTATATATTTGTAGGATCTTGAACATGACTACATAGCTATCGTGGGTCATCAGATTCCCACAAATGAACCTGTTTTCTACATTTCATGACATAACCGCGCACGGGAACATACGCCCTGCGTGCACCTGCTGTGCGCAGAATCACAACATCGTGACTGGCTGACAGGGTTGGTGTTGGTATCATTTGAAACAGAAAGTATATAAGAGGATCAACCAAATGAAGACTTTACTTTGAAAGTTTTTCGCTTAACTCCAGACATGAAAGTAACACTGGTTCTCGTCATTGTCAGCACCATTATTGGTGAGTTGAAGATACTAACGGCTTTTATAGTTTAGTTAGTGTCTACGTTAGCCGATGAGATTTGTTATGTACATGTATTTTTATAATGATAATAGTTCATATTATTCATAGATAATATTATTAATTTGCATTACGCCTTTTTCCATGCTGGATATCAATGCGTTCTATTATGTCTCCGGGAAATAAATCCGTGTGCACTCATTTCCCTGGGGAATATATAACCTGATCTGCCTATGAGGCACTAGAAGACTAATAGTCTCATAACCACCTCACCGAAAGGGGAACCCAATCACTGCTGAGTGAACAGAGGCATGTTTCGAACAAAGGCACTTGCCTTTGGAAAACACCACATGTACTACTTGGGCTACAGTGTTGGGCAGGTCCAAGAAACTCTTAGGAATCAAGGCTGCCAAACACGCTCAGCCATCCAATTGCTTTCTTCCACAAACTGTGCTTAAAGCCTTGACCTGTGACCTGCAAACAGGATCACGTGCCCCAACTTTTAATGAGATATTGTTTCTTTCGTTCAGCTGTGATCGACAGCGAGCCCTGCAGGGATGACAACGACTGTATTCACACGTTATGTGATAGTACCGGAAGGCTTGCCTGCTCTCATAACTTATGTACCTGTCTGGTTGCGGCCAATAGCTGCGTCACAGGTAAGTCAGTTTACAAAATAGTGACCATAATAACTGCAGGCAACAAATTTCACATGTGAACGTTTTACTTAAGCATCTGAAAAGGTTCTCCTACAAGAAAAGGTGGTGACTATAAGTCGATAAACAAATTGGGTTTCACGCCGCTGATATAATGTTTTAGACAAATGTAGAAGGAACGACAAATATGATACAGAACAAAGATGATTACCATTTTGTTGAAACCATTGGCAATACAAAACACCCAATTATGGCGAATCTGTGATAAAAACCCACTACTAACACAGCGTCAGCAAAACCCTGGCAAAAAACTGCAAATAAGACATGCCCTTTAAATACAAGCCTGCATCAAATGAATGATGGAATCTAGTTCAAACCTCTGACAAATGTTTTGTCCTTTGTTGTTAAGAAGGAGGTTTATATTTCAGAAACTTGCAGAGACCGTCCTGACTGCGACAGCTGCATCTGTAGAGACACCCATGACGAACGCCACTGCTTCGACGGCCACTGCCTATGTGGACGTGGTGCACAGGTCGGCCCTGGTGGACCTGGCGTGTAAGTAACCATAGTTACAGCCGGAGGTTGTCGGGCATAGTTTTGGTTGATACACTTGAATCAGTTTTACGTTTCATTGACTTAATTACTGTCGAAAGAAAGTTGATGAATTTGTTTGCTTTTTATGCTTGTTTGGTTTTATGTCAGGGGCAAATGTCTAAATTTAGCCTGAATGTGATTTGGGACGTCAACGCTTTGATGGAGTTGGTTCAGAATGTTGGTGAAACACAATATTAGGAATATGATTTTAGTCGTGCATTTGTTTGTAAAACATACACAGTCGTCTTTGTATGGCATGCATATTTGTCTCATCTCATTTCAGTGGTAATACTTAAATCATTCGACATATAGAAACACTATATCAGTCCTGTTTGTTTGTTTGTTGTTTAACGCCGCACTCAGCAATAGTCCAGCTATACGACGGCCGTTTATAGCAGTCCTATGCTATGTGTTTGGATATATGAAAATAAATGTAAATGTAAAACGTCGACGTTTAGCAATCAGTGTCGATCATCTACCTAAACAGATTTCATTGGGCGTAAAAGGCAAAATTGCCATGAAAATTATATGAATGGATCACTGAAAATCAGTGATGACACTAGGGGTTCCTTCCGCAAAGCAATCGCCATCCACATCCATATTATAGTTCTTACTCTATATTCAATCAATCAATCTTTATTGTATGAAAGGTCATTGGCCCATATACACATACAGATAAACAATATTATTTACAGCTGTACAGCGCATTATATAATTATTTGATAACTAATATGATGCTTGACATGTAATAGAGGTATTGTAATAACAGTGGTAATAACCACAGTGGCAGCAGTAGTAGTATTAAATACAAAAGGAATACAAAAGGAATGGAATGGAAATATTAAGTTTTACGTCGCAAAGGCTTTCAGTCATAGCACGACGTTCAATACAAAAGGATCTATCAGAAATATACTCAGCATGTCAGGACAATTTAGCAATTTAAATGTATATGCATTTCTAGTAGAAACAAACAGACAAAAATGAAATGTAGATACTCCTGATCTAGATGCGAAAGTTTCAAAACAACTAATTATTTCTGGACATATCGGATTTACTAAGTAATTTACTACGCACTCGTAGACTTTGATAGATGTATTGTAATATCTTAGTTAATTTTTGACTAGGGATACCATTAAAAGATACTATTTTGTTCATGGAATAGTTGTTCTTAGTGATATCAGGCATATATTTCAATCTTAGGTTGTCGTAAATTGGACATATAAACAAAAAGTGTAATTCGTTTTCAATATGTTTTTTGCAGAATGGACAAAAACGCATATCCTTAGGAATAGAGGAGAAGCGACCCCTGTTGCACATCAAATCATTTAACCCTAGCCTAAGTTTAATAAATGCGTCTCTAATTTTTCTCTCTGTTATAGTATGTAGGTAAACCTCTGGTGTTAGACAATATTTAAAGGTTTTATAGACGTCGTAGCGTGTACTGTTATCTAGTGACGACCTCCATATCAATTGCTACCTGCTTAAAAGAGCTAAGAAAATACATTTTGTCGCCAACGCTTTGATTAAAAAAAAAATATCCAAATCCGTGAGAGAAGAGTAAATGCTTAATGTTTGATGCCCAGGTTACGTAACCAACACTATCACGATAGACAAGCATTTCGTAGCATTTTCTTGGGATTCGTTCCCGCGACATCTCTGTTATTTTGAGCCATTATCTGAGTAAACGTAAATATGAACAAATATATAACGGGTATCTACCACATTCGCCATAGACCATATGATTTGGAGCCGATTTAGAAACATTTAGAAATATTTTCCATGCAGTTAAGCGCACCTTTTCAATATTGTAATAGGTTCCAAAACTCCAGACCTCTGATCCATATAATAAGATTGAACTTGGTTGAACTTGAGCTATTCAATTTCTTATTTCTAATTTCAGAGGTAATTAAATCCTGAAAGGAGGAAAACCCATGGAAATTAATTCCTACCTTGTTGGATACATACATGTACACATGTGAAATAAACCTACTACTACCATTTACTGGTTTGTTTTGATGCTGAATATGTTTACTCTTATTGAATTGATGCGTTACCTGCTTATACCTATGGAGAACACCCTGTGGTTATTCCGTGTTTCTAGCCTATCCTCGTCAGCTCAAGATACAATTTTTGGATCTGGATTGGCTAGATTTACGTGACGTAGCTTTTCATACAGTCGCGACCCTCAAAGGGACTACATGAATTGGGTGGACAGGCCCGGTGGATTAGTTGATTGATCAACCGATGATCTGTCTGCTTCATACTCGACACATGCCCCAATGGTGTAAGTAAACCTTCGATTGGTTGGTTGGTTTGTTGTTTAACGCCACACTCAACATTATTCCAGCTGTATGACGGCGGTCTGTAAATAATCGAGTCTGGACCAGACAATCCAGTGATTAACATCATGAGCATCGATCCACGCATTTGGGATCGATGACCTGAATCAAGTCAGCGAGCCTAACCATCCGATCCCGGTAGTCGCCTTTTACGACAAGCATAGTCACCTTTTTACGGCAAGCATGGTTTGCTGAAGACCCCGGAATCTTCACGGGACTGTAAACCTTAGTGACAACATTGCTGGGATACAAAAGATTGTTTCATAAACCCTGGCGTTTCGAAAATATTGTAAATAAAAGCGACAGAGGACAATTCCTTAATCATTATGACATTCCAAATAGTTAAAGATATGGGGCAACCCAAAAAATCCAATTTTGGATTCGAATCCCGGTTCGCCCCGATTATGTGTCTAGGTTTGTCAGCACCATACCCGTGCTCGTGGGTTTCACCGAAGTGGTAAACGTCTGAGACCTGCATATCACTTCGGGCTTTCCTCCGACATTAAGCTGACACACCGCGATATAACTGGAATACTGTTAAAAGCAGCGTTAAACCCAACTCACTCACTCACTCACTGTTGAGATCAAACTCCGCTATGTCAGCTGACGTCACCGTGGCATGTCCCTGGCGACCCTCTGACGTCTTATCATACCAGATCAGATTGTGGTATTTAAAGAAAAAGATAAAAAAATATTTTAAGTTTGCTCGTGTAAAGGGTATGTTGTGTGTGGTGTGTGATTCACATTAGTGAATAATCCTTGATTGTATCAGTCGTTGACACCTGAGCAGATGGACTATGCTATGACCTCATGTTATATAACATGTGCACTGTAATGTATCACCGACGCACATCGTTGGGTCACCGTGTACGTTTTTTTAAGAGTAGTATTAGCGTTCTCTCGGCACACGGAAAATCACGTTTCGATTCCAAAGATGGATGGACAAAACCAATGATTAATATTATGAACAACGTCCCAAGCCGCCAGGATACAGGGGCATCGTGACCACCCAATCCACATAGTCACCGCTTACGACACAGCATACGACACCATGGGATCGCCACCGTCCGTATCTGTATAAACAAGGCTAATACATTCATCAAAGTCATTTCACATCATCAGCCATTATTAACATATGATAAACATACATCCAGCCTCTGGTTTCCATTAATACTGTGACCTCCTCCATCGTCTAGCAGAAAACGGAAAGTCGGTGCATCGGTCCCGACTGTGTCAAACCACAAAAATGGTACTTGTTGTTACCCTGCCTTGTGTGCATGCACGTCATTATGTAATTGTGAAACTCCTGAAGGCATTATTAAATCCCATTTCACCTTACCCCACCCATTTATTCTGTATTATGCTCGTGGGTCTTTTGACATCTTTTTTGTCACTAAATCCCTTTGAAATGCTGAAAGTGAGTGAGTGAGTTGGGTTTAACGCCGTTTTGAACAGTATTCCCGTTATATCCCAGCCTAATGCGGAAGGAATGTCCAACAAACAGTTATTGTGTTTTATCATATAATGGGTAGGTTTCTCGACAGGATAAAGCCAACGGATAAAAACGATTTCCGTTGGGGTCATATGCGGATAGAGATGCAAATATCAAAGGTCAAGTAGGGACTACTTTCACTGTTTATAAACAAACATGGCGTCGCCCTCGTCATTCGGCGATCGAGTCAGATTTAACCATCGGGAATCTGGATAAACTACAGAGATAACTGCTTTCATTATCAAAAGAACAGTCTTATGTACTGAAAATCAGTGTCTTACTGTGACGTAGCTAAGGCATTTTATACGTTTTGGCAACTTTGGAGGTATAAATTTCGAAACAATTTTGCGAGGGCACGAGCGGGATCAGTAGCCATATCTTTGTAGACCTCTGCGGCTTGAACCTTTCTCCACAAATTAAAATACTTGGATTTGGCCGAAATATGTTTGAATTGTTACCCTGTTTCGTTTTGTCACTGTGTGTACATCTGACTAGACTTCTTAACGTTATGACAGGACAGACCGACTGTCAACAACGTCTGATCGTGGCCGTGACGTCTCATAGACTAGGGTTAGAGTAGCTTCCCTTTGACAAAGGGCAGTTACTCTAGCAGACAGACCGATGGATTGCCGCGAAAGGCAATTAAAAACAATTGTTGTTTTGCGTATATGTTGCTTCGCCACTGTATAAGAAAGAGATTTCAGTTGGAACTATATTGGCTACTGTCACTGTCCGATTGACACATCACTTACCCTGTGACGTAATAAATATTAATGCGCGCATTCCAGGAAAACTCGCAATGTTTCGGTGATGTTTGTGAGAGAGGGAAAGCGATTTTCAAGCACAGAATTAAAGAATGACATTATGTGATAAAGAGGTTATCACGCTTGTGTGTTTGGGGATGGTAAATATCCTGTATTAGGAATAAACACTATGTATTTAGCCTGCCAAGGCTCGCTAAATACAATGTTTATTCCTAATGCAGGATATTTACCATCCCCAAACACACTCGCGTGATAACCTCTATAAAACTTTCGGCATTCGTGTTTTCTTTCCCATGATGACTTTCTCAACAAAGCCAGAGGGGGATGTATTATCTGACTTATGATCCGAAAGAAAAATCTGAACAACACTTATCATCAATTTTATGTTTGAACTATATATGAACCATTATAGGAAACGGACGTAAAATATCCCTTGCTGGCGTACATGAACCTGGAAAAGAGGTTCTTTAAAAGAATTGCGGTTTATCAGCGTCTCTGTAGCTTAATGGTTCACTCAATAGGCTACAAGTACGACGTTTGCATGTTAGATCCCACTTAAATAGAAATAAAATCATTCCGCACATTTCCTCAAGTTAGCGCTGCAATTTGTGTTATGTAGATTGTGTTCAAATGCAAATTGTAACATAAAAGTAGGTATGTACTCTGATCTGATTGGTTAAAAAGTGTTGTCGAATGAGCATAACATCACTGAATTTTTGGGGTCTCATCACCGTGTATGTATACATTAATTAATGGAACTATTTTTGAAATCATCAACATGGAGGAACAGATGGAAATTTACCCTGACTTCCACATCGGATATTTCGATGAAATATTGAGTGATTGGGACGACGAGACATTTTCTGAGATAATTCAAGAATTTGAAGGTAAATGAAATTTACCTTTTTTCATTAATTTCCCAATCATAATCATAAATGATGTCATTTTCTTGGACTTGGCCAAAGGGAAAAGAAAAGAAAATCATTTTTTAACAGAGTAAAAACCATCAATTGCAACTCTATAATAGTTATGACTTTCATACACCCACCTAATTTTGTTATTATTATTACTCACAACAGCTGTTGAAGCTGAAAACCGTTCTGAGATGGCCCCTGAACTAGGAAATACAGCCAGCGTTTCCTTAGAGCCCAAAGTTCAAGCGTCCAGTGACCGCTTCGCGTCCCTTGATGCAAATGCAGTACAGGACATCGTGGATGGGAACCTCTCCAAATCTACTTGGCGTAATACCTCCTGGGGAGTTAAAATATTTCGACGTAAGCCATTGAAACATTAAAGAATACATAAACACATACCTAAAATTCCTACACAGATTCGATCAACGAGAGTTACCTCCCTTACACCATTGCCATGAACCCAAGTTCGAAGAGCTTCCTGCTTCTCAACTGAATGAGAGACTGAGGTTCTTTTATGCCGAAGTCAGAAATGCTGAGGGAGATCTTTACTCAAAATCGAGTTTTGTTGGGTTGCGTGCTGCCATACACAGGCACATCAGGGGACCGCCATTTGAGGGCAGCATAAACATTATCCAAGACCGGGAATTTCACACTGCAAACAATGTTTTTCTGTTCATGATAAAAAAACTTAAGCGCGATGGCCTTGACCAGACAACACATCATGCTGCTATCCCCGAGAATGACTTTTTAAAAATCCGTGAAAGTTTGGATACGGAAACTCCTTCCGGCTTGCTTCGTAAAGTGTGGTTCGACCTTACACTCGACTCAAATGGGCCCAACAAACGCATTTATGCAACATCGGACCAATTCTGTCCCGTACTTTCATTCAAAAAATACATGTCTCTCCTCAATCCCAACAATGGTGCTTTTTACCAGGCTCCCAAGAGACGAGTCCACGTCGACGACACCGAATGGTACACCACGAGGCCAGTTGGTGTAAATGTCATTGGCAACATGATGAAAGAAATTTCTACCAACGCTGGTCTCAAAGTGCACATACAAACCATTGTCTTCGGGCAACTGCTGTTACTTTGCTGTCAAACGCAGGCATTGAAAATCGCGAGATTTGCAAAATTACCGGCCACAAAACCGATAAATCGTTGAAGTCGTATTCCATTGACTCGAGCTCGGCTCAAAAACGACATTATTTGAACATTCTTCAGGGACAGCAGCAGCTCACTAACAACCGTAATTTGGTACCTGTCCAAGATACAAATATCCTGCCACTGTCCACTGCTCCCGTGAATAACTTCTAGGTTAATTCTTCTGCTAATTCCCATGGTCTCTTTCACATATGTAATTCCACTGTGACAGTAAACAACTTTTTCCATCCCAGCTAAGCTGCATATCTAAAATCTCGCACATGTTTGACCTCTCTTGTCACTACCTCAGCGAGTTGACACTGTCTTGTATAGGGGCAAAACAGTATGAACGTCTTTTCTAATTTTGATTATTTGTATTTTATAGATACGCATAACTACAAATTACAAGTAAGATGAGGAACTGTGATAAAGAATTGAATTTGTGATATTTCCTGTTGTTTGTTTATTTTCTGAGAAATGGGCTTGAACATGTGGCCACCCCTTTCGTAAAATGAACCATCATTATTGGAGTACCTCGAAACCATTCATCGGTTTCGCGGCACCCCATATCATGCATCCTTTCGAAGGTGAGCACGAGGAGACGTATTGCTAACGACAGTTTTGTTGTGTCATGCGCTCAGTAAATTAGTTCCTCCTAAATATCGATTTAATTAACGTTCATGTTATAATGTCGATAAATATTTCGTTTTGTAAGATTTGCGTGATGTTATGCTGAATGGATGTACGGAAGTTTTTCATTTGAACATTCCACCTTACGGCGTCGTGTTCAAATGAAATTTCCGTACATCCATTACGGCGTCTTGTTCAAATGAAATTTCCGTACATCCATTCAGCATAACATCACGCAAATCTTACAAAACGAATATTTATCTCCTAAATACATTGTATATTTCCAACGAGGTACATTCTGAAGAAACACCACAAAAGTATCAATGGCAAACCCATGTCCCAGGGTCTTCAGGAGGGAAAACCTACAAAGTGGGTTTGACACGTTTTGAAGAGACAACCAACAAGAGAATAAACCTGTCGTAGGGTTATAATGCAGGTTAAACCAGATGGGCTTGTAACTTTATAATGGGCAGCAAGATATACATGTATGTGGTCACTACCGGGGTCATAATGCTATATGAAGGATATATAGTTGTATGGCCCCGGTAGTAACCATATGTATCTTGCTGCTCTTTTTTAAGAATCATACCCCTGGTGACTATGACTTTGTGTTTTAATAATTCCATTGTTTTGCCGACATTATTGCTAGGATGCCCTTTGTTATTATTATGTAAGCCAGTATTGCGGGTAATGAATTATTCTTAGTGTGGAATTAATAAACTCTTCTTAACTGCAGTTAGATTGGTGTGTGATGAATTTTAATTGTGCGAATGGCTTTAATTCCCCACCACCCCTAACGTATGAAAATTAAATGGTCGATCCTTCAAATGAGTGAGTGAGTGATGGGTTTTACGCAGCTTTTAGCAATATTCCAGCAATATCACGGCGGCCTTCAGATGAAATACGAGGTCGAGTAAGGCGGGTAACATCCGTCACGAGCTATATCTTATCCATCAGGGTTGTATTTAGGACTGACTGTGTATTTGGTTCGGGTTTTTTAGGTATGAATCGAAAAACCGATGTGGAAACTGTATGAATCATTAAATGAATGCAAAAACACGTGACCAATTCCGCCAATCAGAATGCAGGAATTTCGATGAACACAACGAAAATTTAATTATTGTTACTTAAATGAATTAAAAGGACAAGAGGTAGTGGAACTGAGTTTATGAATGATGTCTCCAAGAACGTGAAACAACGCCATCACTCTGAGGACCACGTGTACTGAATCCAGATGTCTACCTTTAGGTGCTGAAACACAAGGGTCAGATGGTTGGATCATGCATATGAAAGAGAATATTTGACTTTTCTTGTCAAATATTATTCTTATGTATCAACATGAAAAGACACATGTTTTATTTATTACCTCTGATCTTCATGGTCGTATTCTTAAAACCACAATTCCACTTAGGCAGATTTAAAGAAGTTAAATAAACTTTTTGTCGCTAATATTGCCTTTCGAATTAGTGTCTTCCAGATACTTGTCTTAAATGCTTTATAAATGATTTTATCACATATTTATAGTTTACTGTAATCTCCTTCAAGATTGTTTTCATATCTTCTGATAAATATAGTATTTCATCACAAATAACATAATATATATGATCTTTTTCTGACCATGGAGATGTGGGGATAGTAAAGTATTTCAGAGGTGGAAGTTTATGCATTACATGTATTTGTCATTATAGTTAAGCTATTGTCATTAACGTCACACTGATTTGTGGCTTCATTTTTGTGTGTTTGGTTCCTTTTAGACAGAGAAATATTTTAAGGATTTATAGATGGCGGAGATGATAAGGTGGACGAAGGAGGGTGTGGCCGGACTGATGGATGATGAAGATGCGTGAGTGAGTGAGTATGGATTTACACCGCTTTTAGCAATATTCCAGCAATATCATGGCAGGGGACACCAGAAATGGGCTTCACACATTGTACTCATGTCGGGAATTGAACCCGGGTCTTCGGCATGACGAGTGAACGCTTTAACCACTAGGGTTCCCGATCGCCCCGAATGATGATGATGATGATGATGATGATGCATGGATTGGAGGATGGACAGATGAGTGTGTGGGTAGATGGACGGATGAATGGTTGGGAATAGTTGATGATGGATGGATGGGAGGATGGTGGATGGATCGATCAGTTGAAGGATGTGGGAATGGGTGATGGATGGACAGATGGATGGGTAGGTGGGTAGATGAACGGATGGATGGATGTTGGAACGGGTGATGGATTGACCGATGGATGGGTAGGTAGGTAGAAGGACGGATGGATGGATGTTGGAACGGGTGATGGATGGACAGATGGATGGGTAGGTGGGTAGAAGGACGGATGGATGGATGTTGGAAAGGGTTATGGATGGACAGATGGATGGGTAGGTGGGTAGATGGACGGATGGATGGATGTTGGAACGGGTGAGGGATGGACAGATACATCATTGATGATCAAGGGAGTTGGTGATCGGTTTGATGGATGGACGATGGAAAGTTGGATGGACAGATGTATGGTTGGTGGGGGATGGATGATGGATAAATGGATGATTGATGGATAGGTAGGTCGACAGAAACGTTACCCGGGATACCCGCACTGGCAACTGCTGTCGATGCAGTGCCAGGAGTGGTCACATGGGCAGTTATGTTGGTTAGCATAGTGTCTGCAGTGATTTGCGGAGGTATGGCATCCCTCTATCAAACGAAAAGTGGATAGTACTTGGAAGCAGGTAATATTCAAAGCAATTACCAATCGGGACATTTAATTACGTGTATACGCGGGCGTGTATATGCTAACAGAAACAGACCCGTGAAGATCCGGGTTAGAACAGGTCTTCAGCAACCCATGCTCGCCGCAAAATGCGACTATGCTTGTCGTAAGAGGCGACTAATCGGATCGGGTGGTCAGGCTCGCTGACTTGGTTGATGCATGTCATCGATCTCAATTGCGTGGATCGATGCTCCATGATGTCAATCACTGGATTGCCTGGTCCAAACTCGATTATTTACAGACCGCCATCATATATCTGGAATATTGCTGAGTGCGGCGTTAAACAAAAAACAAACAAGTAAACAAACAAACAAAAAACAACAAAAAACCAATACACATAAGTATTCTGAATGCATGTTCCTCACTTACTCTAAGACGGCCTCACATGGGCAACATTACTTTGCAAACATAATCTCCTTAATGTTTGCCAACTAATGTTTTCACACGATAAATATCCGGGTAAGAATATAGGTTCCCAGCAATCTTAGGTTGTCGTAAGAAGCGACTAAACGCACCAGGTGGTCAGTCTTGATGATTTGGTTGACTGCATGTCATCGCTTACCAATTGCGGGATCGATGCTCATGATGTCAGTCACAGGATTGTCTAGACCAGACTCAATTATTTACAGAGCCATAGTCCATATAGTGCGGTATCAAACAAACACACGCGCTAACACTTCTCTCAAATGCCGACGCCATTTTGTAGCAGACCTCAATACAACTCGGTTAATGTGAAGTCCCTTTACATAATTGTTTTAAAGAGACGGTAAGGCAGGACCGGCAGTAAATGAGACATAAGTGAGATATTAAACACAAATGAGATGTTAAACACAAAGAACATGTCAAACACAAATGATATATTAAACACAAGTGAGATATTAAACACAAATGAGGTGTTAAACACAAATGAGATGTTAAACGCAAATGAGATATTAAACACAAGTGGGATGTTAAACACAAAGAATATGTTAAACACAAATGATATATTAAACACAAGTGAGATATTAAACACAAATGAGGTGTTAAACACAAATGAGATATTAAACACATGTTAAACACAAAGACGATGTTAATCACTATACACATGTGAGACACACAAGTGAGATATTAAACACAAATGAGCTGTTAAACACAAATGAGCTGTTAAACACAAAAACATGTTAAACGCAAATGGTATATTAAACACAAGTGAGATATTAAACACAAATGAGGTGTTAAACACAAATGAGATATTAAACGCAAATGAGATATTAAACACAAGTGGGATGTTAAACACAAAGAACATGTTAAACATAAATGGTATATTAAACACAAGTGAGATATTAAACACAAATGAGGTGTTAAACACAAATGAGATGTTAAACGCAAATGAGATATTAAACACAAGTGGGATGCTAAACACAAAGAACATGTTAAACACAAATGATATATTAAACACAAGTGAGATATTAACCACAAATGAGGTGTTAAACACAAATGGGATGTTAAACACAAAGAACATGTTAAACACAAATGAGATGTTAAACACAAATAAGATGTTAATCACAAATGAGATATTAAACACAAAAGAGATGTTAAACACAAAGACGATTTTAATCACTTTACCTGGATGGGTTCCACAGCTGGACACCAGGCACGTGCAGGTTCCCCTCACACAAGTCAAGGTCGAGAGGGCGTCGCAGCTTTCATGCCTGCAGGTGCTGGTATCATGGCCTTGGCATCCCTCGGCATCAACCAGGGCTACAAAAAACATTTATCATACCTCCATGTCAGAATGATGAGATCTGATTGGTTCACGTGATCTTGATAAAATACTATGTATCCCACCTTGGAGGGAAACAATTTCTTTATCGGGGGAATAAATCCCTCATATCCCGCCACGAACAAGACAGGCTGTATGTGGATTTCTGAGAGGAGGAATCAATCCCGTATACCTCGCTATTTCCGAATATGACAGTGTATTTATTGTTTAACAATGATTGGAAATGTGTGACATTGTTTCTGTTGAGATTCCGTAGACGCTCATTGCGTTGTGTTTAGGCAGTGATCAGTCGTCAGGAAGTTAGATGCCAGTGTGGTGTGTAAACTTCCAGGCCGGTATACCCAGGACGGTGATAGTATGTTATGGAAAATACTTTAATGTTCTAATGCCGAAGGACTAGCGAGGGAACTTTCTCGGTGGTAGTATATAAGGGGACAACAATAGCGTGTTTACGAATCTTTCATGCAATTTCATCATATCGGAACCAGCTTCCAAGTGAGGATCGCTCATCATCCTAACCCATAATGGAAGCTTGACTACTGTCACTGCTGGCTATATATATTATCACTGACTTGTGCTATCACTACTGTATTTGATACTGACCACTGCCATCATATTATATACTGTCAGTGAGTATTGTATTATCGCCCTATTGTGTACTGCCAATGTAATTGCTGTGCAGTAATTGTTTTGATTTGTAAACCTAGTTTATGTTATAGTACATTTGTTGATTGTATACCGCTTGTTGGTTGTTTGTTCGTTTCACACTAAGTTCCTTTACGTACAGATTTCTGGGTTAACATATTGTTTCAATTTGGGAATCTACACGTAACAGAATCAATGAAAGTCACCTGGCACAGCAATCGAACAGCTGTTTTCTATCAATTGTGAGTTTGGTTTAATCCTTTCACAATGTCCTATTAAAACATGTCGATAAGGTAAATTCGTTGTAGCAGTATCACGAGGGCGTATGTGGTTTTATGCGTCCCGTGTCAAGTTTTATACCACGAGCGTGGCTAACGCGGAAAACCACTTATCATACCTCCATGTCAGAGTGATGAGGATGTGATTGATCCACGTGATCTTGATTAAATACTGTGTAACCCGCCTTGCAGGGTAATAACAATAACTTTCTAAGCGGGGAATAAATATCTTAAACCCCACCAAGAGCAAAACAGGCTGCACGTGGATTTCTGAGAGGCAGAATAAATCCCTCGTGATCCTGCTACAACTTGCAATGTGACTTTATTGTATAGGCGGCTTCACGCGGACAACAGAAGAACACAGATTGCCAACTTGTATTTTCACACTACAAAGGCGTGTTGTTGTTGCATAGCCTCTCTTCATTCCTTTCAAAGGTTGACGCCATATTACGCAGTATCTGATTGACTGAAAGCAACCAACATACGTTTGACAACCATTCACATGTCAAAATCGAGTTTGAATCACAACATTGTTGATCGAAATATTGGTTGGATATTCATTGCCAACGGTTTATCAAATTCCCCATTCTGTTTTCGCAAACTGAATGTTCCCTGGGTGGTATAAGATAGTATGCCGTTCCCCAACATCATGGCCAATAGGGGTGACTATAGGGGCACTGTACTGATACAATGGTATTGCAATGGTTAAAACACTATTGCTATTAATATAATACTGTATAACTATACGTTTATAACGAACACGCTTATAACGAACTGACGGATATAAGGAACTTTTTTTTGGTCCAAACATTTGCTTTATATATGCTGTATATATGATTATAACGAACTACGGTTATAACGAACTAAACTTAGTGATCCCTTTGCGTTCGTTATAACCGTAGTTTACCCTACTATTGTAATAGTGGTTCAGATATAGCTTTACTGTTGTAGTGGTACAAACTTTATAATACTGTAACGCGTGTACATATTCCTTCCCATTATTAAGCGGGGTAACGCTGATTGTCTGACAATGTTCTCAATGTACCCTCACATGTCTATTCAAACAAGGTGCATTGTCGACACAAAATGATGACGAACGGTAATGTTTCATAATATTTGTATCGATACTATCAATGGCATTTCGTCATCCTTTATAACTAATTAATTTCACTTCTAATCACTAACACTGGTACTTGAGAACAGTTTATGTTAAGTAAATATAAATAGCTACATAGATAGTCATATAGATAGCTACAAGGAAATATTTAACTTTCACGATTTTTCGGCCGTACTTTGGTAGATAGATAAAACATCAACAATAGAGAATATCTATTCCAATACAGATACCATTGCACGTACAAAGCAAATTAGTGGTGAAATTTATATGAATGGATAATTGAACACCGGTGATGATACCGGGTGTTCGCAAAAAGGGTAAGCTAGTGCTGCTCTACAAAGCACAATTTGCAGAAAAAAATGTTTGTAAACATTTACTGAAAATTAAGATACATTAGTTTATCGTTATTTTAAAGTAAACATGAAGGCCTACATAAAGTAACCAGACAAGGGGCTGCGATAATAAGACACCTCATGGTTTCAGCTTCAAGCTAGAACTGAAGTGCTGGAAGTGAAGTTAGGGCAGAGAAACTGGGGCAGTGATATAAATGGGAAAGACAGCTTTCTGGACAGCTGGTCAAATAGGTATGCAGAGATACACACAGATATCTGCCCATTGTGTGTTAATGGTTTGTGAGTTGAAGACACGATGAAGTTTATTTTTAAAAGAGACGTATTAAAGAAGTTTTTGAGATGTGTATTTACCTGATAATTTGCATTGGAGCTCCCGTTTGTAAAATATTACTTAAAAAGGAATGGCATTCCAACCCCCCTTTTTGAGAATCGTTTGGAAACTCGAATGACAAAACATGTAGAAACATACTTTCGAACAAGACAGTCTTTGTTTACCGAGATGAAAGCAATCAAAACCCCTCTCACTGACCTTAGTAATAAGTGTACGTCTCTAGAAAACGCAATATCAGACATGCTAATCATCTTGATAGAGTTAGCCATGAGCAGAGTGCCATATACAGGGATATCGACACACATTCGTCACCACTCGCCCCTTTCCGTAACCTGCAATAAGGCTCGTCCCCCTATCTATAATAATTTATAATGTTATGTGCGAAAATACGACAAACCAGTCAGAATGCGCGTATGATTTCAAGTTCTGCGTTAAAGAATCCCTCAGAAATAATTTACCTGTATATGGGCCAGTGGCCTTCATACGAACAAAAGACTTGACCGGAAGTAACTGAAACAGACATAAAATATGTATAGGCCTTCTACAGTTTACAAATGATGTTTCGTCAACACAGGCCCTGGTGACGGTAATGTCAGGGTTCGGGTATCAGATAAAGTTCGTGTCATGGACGAAAGGTGTATACATTCATTGTCACATTGCATCCAAGGAATAATATCTCAATCTACATAAATAATCTGGATCCATTTGCCACCTCAGCATTGTTTCGGAAGTGACGTCACCATCTCTCACTGAGCCCAGAATTTCTCTCCTTTATAAGTATTTTGATTCGACTGCTATTGCGTCGAATCGGGCTCAAAACGGAGTTATGGGTCCAGGGTCTTTAACAGAATATAATGTATATAATACCCTGGATTAACGACGATGTTGTCATTCAGTTACTTACGTTTTGAATAGATGCAAGTCTTGACAGGGTATAGTTCATGTATCCGTATTTGTCATTTTATGGCTCTTCTGTCAGTATACAATTAAAAGATGATCTCGATGGAAACAATTAACACAATCGTGACGATACATCTAAACTCGAAGCTTATGTTCAAGAATAAGTAAGAATTTATATAGAAAGATATTCTATCATCGTCGACGAGGCGGCCTGCAACTACGCATCTTGTCAAAGTGGAACTAGTGGTTAAAGCTTTCGCTCGTCACGCGGTAGCCCCGGGCTCGATTCCCGACATGGGTACAATCTGTGAAGCCCATTTCTGGTGTTCCCCGCCGTGGAATATTTGCGAAAAGCGGCGTAAAACCAAAATCATATACTCACTCACTAACGTAACAGGAAAGTCAACAGTTTGTGTACGGGCCAGACACTTACAACCAAGGGAGACAATTTGCGGGGAGGTAACTCTTGTATGTCACTTGTTCCGTCAAAGTGTTATGTTCACTGCAGCGAAATATCAAGTTTGAGTGTTCACTGCACTCATAAAATTATAACTTTTCTCAACCTCAGAAAACTTTTCACACTGAAGTATATATTAAATTTTCTCATTGACTGTAATATGTATAGATACCTGCGATATGAACAAAGCAAATATTAAACAACCAGTCTCAACCGAAAGAGATTCCATTGGGTGCAAACAGCAAAACAGCGGCGAAAATATACGAAATGGATACCTGAAAAAGTCATGACACCAGGTGTTCGTGACAAGGGAAATGAAATGACCAGTGTATGTAATGTGTGTGATTATGTTTGTGTCTGCATGGATGGGTTCAAGTGTGTGTATGAACACAATGAGTTACATTGTGTGTCATAAAGTGTGTTGTATTGTATTGCATTTTCTTGTAATGTATAGTTATATTGTGATGTTTCACTGATCTTAATGATCTTCTCATAACGTCCGGTTGGTTTGGGCACATTTGGGCGAATCTGGACTTGGAGTCCCATTATCACAGGACCAGCATCGCCCCAGACGATTGGGCCACCTGTACCCCGCCGGTGTAGGATGCTCAAATGACTCCCCAGGCTGAGATGACTGTAGAGTCATTTAAGCCTAGGCCCATATGACCGAAAGTCAAATTTAGGGGGAGTCGTTTGAGCCTACTACACCGATTTCGAGTAAATGACTTTTATCTTGCTGAAGACCTATTCTAACCCGGATCTGAATAGCAGTCTGATCAGTACAAGTGGGGTTAAACCCCATTGTACAGAAAGGGAGATTTTAATATGCATTCTCTTATAATTAGGGCAAATCTGGAATCGGAATACACGATCAGGGGACCTGCATCGCATGACACGACAGGGTCACCCCTCCCACCCCCACCCCCATCTCCCACACATCCCTCCACATGCACCCGACTTGATAAAACTAACAGTTGAAAACGAAGCGATGTTGGAATATTTAAGGACAACAATGTGAATTTCAAATATGATGCTGACAAACCTTGAAACATAATCAGGGCGAACCGGGATTCGAACCCACAATAGGTTTTATTGCGCGCCCAGGGGACGCAATTCTGCACAGCGAATCACGGCGCCTTAGACGATTGGGCCACCCGTGCCCCTCTTCCCTTGGAAACCACTCAGACACTATGTCTACGGTTCCAGCTATGCTCGCATCAGATGGGTCCCATAAACGTAGCTGAGTTTTCTTGACAATGATATGTGATGTTTCACGAATCAACATATTTCATATGGGCTGTGTGATACTGCAAAAGTGCATGAATGAGTGAGTTGGGTTGAACGCCACTTTGAGCAGTATTCCAGTTATATCACGGCATGTAAGCTAAAAGTGGGAGGAAAGCCCCAAGTAATGCAGGCTTCAAATGCTTACCATTTGATGAAATCCTAGAGCACGGGTTTGGGTTTGACAAACCTAGAAACATCGGGAACCGGGATTCGAACCCACAATCATAGGTTTCTGGCGTGCCCAAGGGACGCAACTCTGCACGGCAAATCGCGGCGCCTTAGACGACTGGGCCACCCCTGCCCCACTGAAAAGGTAACTTTATATACATTGGACATAACGGATGTAGTGTGATTGACTATAATTGCATCATCTTGGGTTTTTGACGATGTTTAACATTATCTCTAGAACTGAATCAGAACACCTCCAGATATAATTTAATCTGTCAACGAAAGTGAGCTACCATACCTAAAAGCAGAATTTAATTCAGATAACAAACTGACTACAAAGTATTCATGGAATGAGAAAACAGGTATATTCTTTGAAAGGCTATTTACTTATGGATAAATCTAAAGATGCTGTACAAGTAGTCTTAGGTGATATTAAGAAAAGAATTAGTACGTTTACAGGTAAGATCAGCTGACTGTGTTATATGGCAGTGTATTTTATTGTTAAACAATGATTGTAATTGTATTACTTTGTTTCTGTTGAGATTCGGAAGAAGCTCATTGTATTTGGACAACGATTAGTTGTCAGGCTGTAGTACTATTTAATGTAAGCAGTGGTGAGAAAGTTACTATTTTTCGATGCTCGTGTGATGTGTAAATTTCCGGAAGACCGTGGACTGAGATAGAGCGTTAGAGAAACATTTGGAATATTCTGTGATGTGATTTCCAGAGGCAAGTTAGACTGTATATAAGAAGACAAGAGCCTTTCGTGTTTTTCACATTTCATAAAATCAAGACCAGCTTTCGTGTGAAGGAAACTTATCATCCCGGATTCCCAGCCATGGCCATCTCGGAAGTTTGACCACTGTCGCTTCTGGGTGAATATATTATCACCACTGTTTTTGTATTTGATACTGACCACTGCCATCATATTATTTACTGATATTGAATATATACTACCACTCTATTGTGTACTGCCATTGTAATTAATGTACAGTAATCAGTGTTTATTTGTAAACCTAGTTAATTTTGCAATACAATTGTTAATCGTACACCATTTGTTGTTTGTTGGTTGGTTTCACACTAATTTCTTTTATGTATAGATTTCTGGGTTAACGTAATGTTTCAATTTGGGAATCGTCACGTAACAGTGTGAAGCGTCCAAACTATTTTCTTGAATGTCGAACGCGACGTCAAACCTAATTTCATTTCACCAGGAATACTAATTCAGTGAATAATATAAAATGTGTGTCTTGGTGTGATTATTTTAAAAGTCTGTACAGCCTTTCCAAAAGAAGTGATTGTATGTCTGTTGAAGACGATCAAAGTGTATTTATTTATGAAAATACATATATGAATGAACATTGAATAAAAGATTGGATAAAATATGCCACTTAAGATATTTCTGATACTCCTATCAGCAGTGAGGAAATTCAAGAAACAGTACAACAAAACATCTGGCATAGATTATGTAGAAGCGAGATTTTAGTATTTCTTAAGTAAATGTAGTGTCACACAATTTTCTACTTTGGGTTTACAGACAGCCGTCATATAGCGGAAGTACTTCTGTGCGGCGTCAGGCAACAAACAAAGACTTACGTTTTATGCAAATTGTGTGTGTGGTGGGTGCTACTGGTAGGGCAGGACATGCTTACCCATTTCGCGAACACCTGGTGTCATCATTGATTTTAAACGATAAATTCATATAATTTTCACCGATATTTTGCCCTTTAGTTTCAATGGATATACTATAATTTGATGCTTTTGGGGAGTCTTCCCAGTGCCCGTGGGTTTCAGCAAACTGGTAATCGTCTACGGCTTCTGCCGCTTTGAACTTTTCTACCACAATAAATAAAATGGGAATTATATGAATTGTTGATGATTTGACGCATATTTTCCGCTGTATTGTTTCATCTCGGCAATAGATTTACCTCAAATACAATTATGTCTACTCGTGTAGAGGAAGAAAGCGTTCGTCAACGGTTGACGCGTTGGGTACGATGACTGGTCACTCTTACCATTCGACTTCCATTATATGGAGTGAGTTCGTGTCCTCCGATTAGTCAGATGTCCCACCAGTCAAAAAACAACAAACTTCATGGCTGATTGCCAAACCCCTAACTGTTTCCTATATTAAAATGGTTTGGTCCAACAGTAGGTTACAGAAAAACAATAAGAGCATTGATTTCTTCACATTTTAATTCACATTCTATAATGTGATTTGTTAATTTGATATCATAGATATTAAGAAAATGTACATATAATATGTTAATAATACATGAAACAAAAAATTATATTTCATAGTTTATAATTACATTTAAGAAATTGTACATTTCAAAAGTTTTGATCATCTATGCATCTAACAGCGTGTAAACGTTTTCTTCATGTCAAATCATCACCACCAAATCATGTCGTCTATGGTGAGTGAGTACGGTTTTACGCCGCATATAGCATTATTCCAGCAATATCACGGCGGGGCGTCGTCTATGGTGAATTTGGACACAAACAATATGCTTAGAGGAATCTAGAAATGTAAAATTGTCTTATGACAAGTGAATTGGGTATCAAAGGTTAAACATTTAATTTGCTCTACCAGATTTGGCTCTGTGTGGGAACACCAGTCTGTTGATATTTTCCCGGGGTGTCTTTCTGTCTAGATTAAGATACTGTTATGAACAAGAAATGGCATTCTTTTGTATTTGAAAGTTCAAAAATAATTTCATATTAACTATTTAAACCTTCTTCTGGACTTGAATTATATTTAAGCAGGACACCAATTAACAAGTTTAGAATTTCTTCATCTCGATTTAGATGTGGGTCACACAAACCTAGAATTGAAACGGGGCGTTATTGTAGAGAGCCAACTGAGCATCGGATTTGTATATTTTGGGGCACACATTGTGTTGAAAATGAATATCAATTGTACTTATTGTGATTATTATTGTGAAACCAGAAACTAATATATTAACGGAAAGTATTATATATTACCAGCAAATCATAAATTCAATATGTAAATTCCATCTACAAATGTTGATGTTATACAGAACTGTTTATGATACAATGTCTTACTCCTAATGTTACTGTAGTCATTCGCCAAATGAATGAGCTCGCACTCAGCAATATTCCAACTATATGACGGCGGTCAGTAAATAATCGAGTCTGGACCAGACAATCCAGTGATTAACATCATGAGCATCGATCCACACAATTGGGATCGATGACATGCATCAACCAAGTCAGCGAGCCTGACCACCCGATCCCGTATGTCGCCTTTTACGACAAGCATAGTCGCCTTTTACGGCAAGCATGGGTTGCTGAAGATCTATTCTACCCCGGATCTTCATGGGTCGAGTTGGCGGTGCACATGCTTTGTAAATCCTGCAATCGACGGAAATCTGCATGACAGTTCACAAACCGGATTTCGATTTCGTTGCGCGATTTTGATTGGACTATGCAGAGACTCGTTAGTTCAGCCAAACTGTAACTCCATAATACCAGCCAAGTTCGGCAAGGGTGGAAACTGGACTTTTGTAGTCAGTTAACTCTCTTGCCTCGTGAAGATGGAGCCAACCAGACACCGTGGTGAATATCTATGACATGTGTCCTTGTGTGTTTTGCTCCATTATTGAAGCAGCGTTGATATTGGACCAAAACCACAAGGACACAAGGACTGTATGACAAGAGGGATGACTTCAACTTTCCAACTGTCAACTTTCCCTTCATGTGGAACAATATTTCAGCAGCTCTATCCTTTACATGGTGTTTACATTTCCCACCTTTTGAGATACAATCGAGCATGATCTTTCAATCAAGATTTCAACGAGCGTCATACGACTCTTGCTATGAAGTTGTACGATCAAGGTTACAACATTCAAGGCCTCAGTAAAGCTTTCAAAAAGCTTTACGAGTGTTAGACATGAGAAATACATTTCCAAATTTGACGCATCAGCGACAAAGATGATGTCCGATGCAAATCCCTATTTTGACTTCTACCATAAATACCCGTGTTTATCAGGTGAACAACTGACTTCCCTTTGCATGTGTTTGTGAAGGGTGCCACCGGTGGGGCAGGATACACTCACCTTTTCGCGAACACCTGATAATGATTCATAAACACATGTTCATGATAAAGTCGAAATCGTGCAATCGACTGTTTTATGCAGAGATTTCTATTGGATATGGAAAGGGTTCTATCGCTTTATTTATTGTTATTTGGTTCACTAAGGTAACACAAACTGTTTAAAGCAGCGCAGCCTTCGTGTGGATGGAATATTTCTGAGTTAAACAACAAGCAAACAAATTAAAGCAGAGTTAAACACAACTCACTCACTTACCCTGAATACATGATGCATGCGTGTTGGTGCACTCTTGGTTGATGCAGTGCAGTGTTGTGTTAAGTGTCATGATTCGCTCCACACCAAGGCTTAAAGTAAAATAAAAAAATTCAATTAATTGTTGATATCGATAATGCAAGTTATTTAGCCTATCATATTATATGGCCGCTTCAAGTGGTTACTGATTTCCAACTGAGACATAATAGCAGATAAGAGTCGAGAAGATAACAGATATATACAGAACTGGGTGTGTCCTCTGACTCGCCAATGGGGATTATGGATTCAAATAGCCCTCCAGCAAACTACTAGTGTCGTACGAGGGGACTCATGGATCGAGGAATCAGGTTCAGTGTTTGGGTTGATTTCGTGTCATCATTCCACGGTGTGGGCAGGGCGCAACTAATCAATAATACTGTTTTTATGTGTTTTTCATGTTTATTCGTAGCTATGTGATTTTATTTTTTAATGTTTCAACGCGAGCCGTCCTATCATAATAATGAAAATAATTGTGAAAGTGACGTTTTTTACGTCACAAAGTAAGTACAGTAAACTACGATTATAACGAACTCAACTGGACTACTAATTTTAGTTCGTTATAACCGTAGTTCGTTATTAGCATATATACAGCATAACTACAACAAATAGTCGGGACAAAAAAGTAAGTTCGTTATATCCGTCAGTTCGTTATAAACGTAGCTCACTGTATATATTGTGAAACACTTACTTTCAAGGACTCTCTGCTCGCCTGAGGGAAATACTAGCAAGTATGTTTATGTGAAATTTTCACATAACTATACTTACTAGTATTTCTTCATATTATTTCCTAAAGGTTTCGTTACTTCATTACTGATACCTCAATGCAAGATTCCGATTTTCAAATTAGACAATAAATATCATGTTCGACCGTGTAGTGTTTGAATTAAAAATTTACTGCATAGATGGTAAATCGAGGTTTACTTATCTTTGATAAAATGTGATTTTTAGGTGTACTCAACCGCTTTTCTGCTACTATGGTAGTTTCGCCAAGGGTGGGACATTGCTCAAAACATGACAAGCTTCTCTACAGGCCGCCGTCATAAACATTGAAGATGGAATATTGCAGAGGTCGTGAAACAACAAAATACTGTTCCCTGACGGCGTTGCTGATGCAGATGACTGTCATACTCACCGACAGCAACTGCTGATACATCGAGGATTAATATGTACTTCATGGTTTACGGAAACGATTTTGATCTGAACATTGTGACCAGGGACACGCCTTTTATACTGCACAATGCCTGCACCCATAAATTATCTTAAGCGCGTTGTCTAAAACAGATGACACTTTCCGAATTCCACAAAGTATTTATTTTTACACTTTCCCCTAATGTAGGCCGAGATTGTTTCTATGTTGCCAACCTCATCTTAACCCTTACGAATGTATATGCATTTATTCATTTTTGGATTCATGATTGGTAGTATCGCAATCTTTCTCAAGATCAAAGAAAATTGATACTTCGCGTTGTTTATTTACTGTATCATTTTAACAAAGGATTCTAATCATTAAAAAAATGATCAATATTACTTCTTTTTATTCCCAGAAAACACATTGAATATTTGTAATAAGATTATCGGTTTCCAAATACCAAACTAATCTATTGTTTTCCATTCGTTCCATGGTTTTGCAAACGCAACTGGTTACAGATATATGGTGGTAATTGGAAGCATCAGTAGGATCTTGGTGTGGGGACTACAATGGCATTTTGCCACGAGGAAGTAAATTCCCTGACGTCCATCTGTGGTCAAATATTCATATAAAACTGTCTCAAGACATGATTCAAGGCAAATGCTTCAGTAACTGATGGTGGATATTATCATCACCCGCTGCAGTAAGAGCAGTATGACGCTCATGTAATGGAAATACTTATAATACATTATTATCTTCAGTTTCGCTCAAGTTTATTTGCAATGTCAGATTTATCAGTTATCAATTTCTCAAAGTCTTAAAGGTGGGATACGGACGATTTGTACCCTTTGTCTTTTATTTATTTAACCTTGGACATAGGTGTGCGTGAAATAATTTTGGAGACATAGTTTCTCCAAGATTGGCGCTCATTTTGTTCATAATCACGTCGTGCCTTGTCAAAAATAACTGTAACATTATTAAAGTTATGAACTGTAGGATGTTTGCGGAAATCTTTTCCCGCTTTCTTCCTACACTTTCTTGCATGTTTGCAGTCGTTATTAAACCATTGTTGACGAATATTTTTAGAGGACATAGGAATTATTTGGTCAGCAATATTATTAGTTGACCCGAAAACAACTGGATGGAATCTGGTAAATTTCTGAAATTGTCAGGTTTTAGCTTTTCAGCACATAATATACTCAACAACGAAAGTTCCTGTGACACCAATATTTTAGTGTATATTTCAAACAAGTAAAGTTTGGTTTTCAATATTGTAGTACATGTATGGAAACAAGTCACAAAAACGCAACTGCTACAGAAAAGCATGCATTCCATGCAAAAGTCGACTTTTATGCAAGCCCCATGCATTTCACTACCGAAGAATGGGTATAAAAACGTGCGTTAACGGGAATCCATATGCATTGTTTAGCATCATGCTGACAACAATCACTCAGAAAAACAACAAAATTACGCAATTATTCAACATTTCGAAATGCCACGCCTGTCCGAAAATGAGCGTCTTCGATCCATTGGTATACTTGAAGCAGGGTCGAGTCAACGTGATGCTGCAAGACAATTTAACGTCCACAGAAACGCCATTTGGTGTTTATGGCAACGTTGGCAACAGACGAATGCAGTCAGAGACCATCCTCGGAGTGGCAGGCCACGCATAACCAATAATCGACAAGACAACCTACGCAATCGATTCAGCCAGCAACAGTGACTGCAAGAAGCATCCCTGGCCTTCGACGAATATCTTCACAAACCGTACGTCGTCGCCTCAGATGTGCAGGGATTGTCGCCAGAAGACCCGCCAGACGTCCCATTTTGACAGGAAACCACCGTCAAGACATCTACAGTGGTGCAGACAGCGCATACGCTGGACGGCCATGCAGTGGGGACAGATTCTATTCACTGACGAGTCTCGTTTTCACCTCAGCCACAGCGAAGATCGGATTCGAGTGTACCGACGTCGAGGCGAACGTTACGTCAATCATCGTGTCATGGAAGAAGATCGGTTCAGCGGCGGCAGCGTTATGGTATGGGGTGGGATTACAGCAAGACAGAGGACCCGTTTGATAGTGGTAGAGGGAAATCTCATTGGACAGCGCTACCGCGACGAGATCATAGGCCCTGTTGTTCTACCGTTTTTGCGTCGTCATGGCCCAGGCATTACCTTTCAACATGACAACGCCCGGCCTCATATTGCTCGACTTGTTCAGGACTCCGTTCAACAAAACAACGTGAATGTCATCCCCTGGCCGGATCGCTCCCCTGATCTCTCACCAATCGAGCACATGGGGGATGAGATGGATCGACGCCTTCGACGTCAACCACGTGTTCCACAGACACTCCAGGAACTTCGAAACATGCTCCAGCAGATATGGACAGATATCCCACAGGACTTTGTGCGACGCCTGGTCCATTCCATGAGACGAAGATGTGTTGCTTGCATCGCAACCAGAGGTGGACACACACGCTATTGATTTGTAAATTGACATTTTGGCATGTTCATGTTTTTTGTTTTTTTTCTGAAGTCAGTATGGCAAATTAAACCATTTGAACATTTACAGGAGTCTTTTATCTGTTGCAAACCGAAATTGTTTCAGATTTGGTAAAACAAACATAACTTTGAATGAAATCTTAATCAATGTCACAGGAACTTTTGTTGTTCTCTATACATACATAGTATGACCTTGTTCAAATGTAAGTTAATCTGAAACCTATTTGAACCATACAGTTCAAAACAACGCTAACCTTGCCAGACGTTTTCAATGTGCACTGTTTCCCTTTCAGCTGTTATCTACAGCGAGACCTGCAGGGATCAGAAAGACTGTAATCACGTGACATGTGACAGTTCCTAAAAGTTGGGCTGCTCTCATGGAGGATGTACCTGCCTGACTTCCGCCACTGCTGGTTCCTGCGCTCAAGGTATGATAAAGTTTATACATAGTGTTTACGATAAGTGGCATTTTTTCTCATAGCTGCTTAGGTAACTAAACATGATTCTCGTCTTATTTTTTCTCGAGATGCTAAGTGCATGTTTAAGTGAAATGTTACAATGCATAATTAAGAAACAGGTTTGAAGCATATGTACAGCTCTCAATACCTTTTAAGTCTGTGATCAATTGTTACACAAAGAAAGCACCGCCTCCTTGGTCTAGTGGCAGAGCGTTTGCATTGAGAGCGAACGGTCGGGCGTTCGATACCGCTTCACACCAAAAGACGTCAAAAGACGTTGTTGTTACCCTGCCTGACGCTCGGCATTTAGAGGCTAAAACAAGGACTGGTCGGCTCGTAGTCAGTATACTGTGTATGAGTGGGTATTCATGTTACACTGGAGCATGGTATGTCTGTGGGCTAGCTCAATAAAATCGGCATTAGTACGGACGGGTACTAGCAGCCACACATACACACACACGTGCAGGCACGTTGCTATATTAGTGCAATTATCCTGAACGCGACGTTAAATCTCATTTCACCTCACCCCGCCCCACAAAGAAAGCATGTAGAATGAATATAAGATGGAAAATTGACTATTCTGATTTCTGTGTTGAAGGATGCATCTTGTCCGTGATGTGTGTTGTCTTTTCTTCTTGTACTGTCATAGAATAACAGCGATGGCAGATCTGATATTATGATATCTGGCATAATATGCAGGTCTCAAGTTAACTAAGTGCATTTATTATCATTGGCAGTGACTCCAATTTGAGTGAGATGTGAATGGTTTAACTGAAAGCATTCTTGTACTTTTTATTGCATCGGTTTGAAAAAAAAAGTGGAGATATAGCGATCAGCATGTCCGTCCGTCCGTTCCGTGTCCGTAGCAGAACTCTAAAACGGTTAATATTTTTTGTTGAACTTGCTATACAGATCAATATAGTGATGAACTGGTGCTTTGTGATGATTTGGGATTTTTATGTTTTTATTTTTTTATAGTTTCATGACGACATGATAACGTTTCCGGAGCATACCATTGAATATTTATTAATGAAAATTGTTATACAGATCAGTCTAGTGTTGAAGCGGTGCCTTTTGATGATATGTATATTGAAAAAAATACTGAACAGCATTATTTTTCTTCCACTGAACTGAAGCCAAACGCCATTTCCGAATTGCACCAGATGTGCCACATCCTGATGACTCTTGTTATTCCGTATTTTCTTTTATAGTATAACTGACATTTTATCATCAGATGAGAGTACGATTTGCCTTTTTTGAGCCACATGCAGCGCCCGTGTCGACTGCGACAGCTGCAGATGTAGAGACAGCCGTGCTTCACACCACTACTACGATGGGCACTGTCTCTGTGGACGTGGATTTGGACCTGACATGTAAGTAATCAGGACGATTCTACCTTTTGAGAAATAACCAGTAAGGTGTTGTAAATATTGCAAAGCATGGAGAAAAGGAGCTACCAAGTTATATTAAATAGTGACTTTAAATGGTATCAACAACGTAATACATCTGTTAGAAGTCATACCATTCATATATCTTTGGATGAAACATGTTGTATAATTTAGAATATTATGTTGATATTAACTCTATGCTTTCCTTATTTCAGTGGCAAACAAACTTTGAGGCAGAGGATCAATCAACTATTTATTGTTTTTGCACCATTGTGTCTTCTGATATGTAATAAAATATACAAAAAAGTCTCCTTGTTTTCCTTATTCTTCCAATGTATTAGAGACATGTCCAGTGTTACGGAGCCTATTAACTGCCTTGATACAGCTATTCGTTTATTTCCTGCTGACTGAGACATACACGTACAGCAATTTTTTTTTTTTAAAACAAACATTTCTCTGTATATCCAGTCCAGTCCATGTAATGTTCCATTCTAATCATTAACTGATAGACACCTTGAAAAAAAGCGACAAAACCCTTTCCATAGACACAAGAAATCTCTGCTAAAAGCAGAGTTGTTTGAATGTAAAAGTTAATTGCATTATATATGCTGAGTCATGAGGATGTGTTCACTATCAAATGGTGATACCGGGTGTTCGGGAAAAGGTGAGCGTATCCTGCCGCACCGGTGCCATCTATTACAAACACATGCAAAGTCAAGTCAATTGTTATCCTGAAA